AATTGCTGAATACAAGACTGTACCATTTCAAATCTTTTAAGTCTGGACATTGGAACAGCTGATAGATCTGAATCAGGTGGTAGGGTGATAATTCCACCAATCAGGAAGTGAGCGGGTGTTAAAGCTTGACAGCCTGATGGATCATTAGATAATGGAGTCATGGGTCTAGAATTTAATACTCCCTCTATTCCGCACAATAACGTAGTTGCTTCTTCAAATGTAAATGTTGCATTTAATGAAATCTTGGTCAGGAGCTGTTTTGAAGACTTAACCGCAGCTTCCCATAGACCCCCAAAATGAGGTGCTGAGGGTGGAATGAAATGCCATTGAATTGATTTTTCAGTAAGAAACAATGAAGTTTTATGAGTCTTGGCAATTTCCTGGAATTGAGCCATAAGTTTGCGATTCGTACCAATACAATTTGTGCCGTTATCACTGAACAGGTTTTTGCACTGTCCACGGCGAGACATGAATCTGGTTAGCGTAGCTAAAAATGCATCGGCAGTCAAAGAGAAAACTAGCTCCAAATGAATTGCGCGTGTGACCAAGCACACAAATACAGAAATATACGCCTTTTCGCTCTTCACACGATGAATGCCACTACRAATCATTATTGGGCCGCAGAAATCCACTCCACATTGAGAAAACGGTCTTTCAATAGTGATTCGTTGACGAGGTAGTGGGGCCATGAATGGTGTTATTGATCTTGGATTGGTTCGGAAACATTGAATGCATTGATGAATGGTACGACTGGCAAGAGTTCGTCCACGGATGGGCCAATAATTTATTTGAATATGTGCAAGCAGTGCTTGTGGACCAACATGCAATAATCTTAAGTGTTCATATTTGAATAACAATTTTGTGAATGTTGATGACGGTGGCAAAACAATTGGAAATTTCGAGTCATCACTTATTGGTGCATAAGCTAATCGACCCCCTACACGTAAAATACCATTGCTATCAATGAATGGATTAAGCTTCAATAAACAGCTAGACCGGTGAATGGGTAAGATTGAAGAAAAAGCTTTTAGCTCCAAGGGATAAGCTTCAGACTGAATTTTGCAAATCCAAAATTCTCGGGAGACCTTGAGGTCAAGTATACTCAATGCACCTGTCACACGTTGATTCATGTGTTTCTGTAATTTGCAATTGTGTACAAATCTTTGGACTAGAGCTGTTATGCGTATAAGTTGCATGTAACTCGAATACTTTTCCAGTAACCAAGAATTGGACGACTGAGATATAGTGAGTAATAATTTTACTGGACGAACTTCAGGGATTTCTGATGGTAGCACTGGAATACAAGGCCATGAGTCACTACCCGAAAGCAACCAAGATGGGCCATTCCACCATATTGACAAGKATGGCAGAGTAGATGGGTGAGTGCCTCTGGTAATTAAATCAGCAGGATTATCCTTGGAACCAACATGGCGCCATTGTATATAAGTTGTAATGTCTGATATTCGAGCTACTCTGTTTGCTACATATGATTGCAAGGGAACTTCATTTTTTAACCAAGCCAAAGCAATTGATGAATCAGTCCATAGCAGAACATCGTTTGTATTAAATTGCATGCCTAAGCAATTGAGTTCATTTTTTACTTCAAGCAACAGTTCAGCCAGCAATACTGCACCACACAGTTCAAGTCTAGGAATGGTAGTAGCCTTCATTGGAGCCACACGAGATTTGGATGCCAAGATAAGTACTTGTACTTGACCATTGGGACTGGTGGAATGCAAGTAAATGCATGCACCAAAGGCTTCCTGTGATGCGTCACAAAATCCATGAATGGTGATCTTTGATTCCGCAGTACCGACAACTTTACGTGGTATGGCTAATTCATGCAGAGACTGAAGTGAATTGTAGAAGTTTATCCAACGAGATTGCAATTCAGTTGGGAGAATGTCGTCCCAGTTCATTTTCATTCCCCATAATTGTTGAATGAAAATTTTTCCAAGGATGAGTACAGGTGATATAAGGCCAATGGGGTCATAGACTGAGTTGATGTCAGATAACAATGTACGCTTTGTCATGTTTGGCGGCGGTGACCAATGCTTGAACGTAAAACGAAATTGATCAGTAATGGGCTGCCACGTAAGGCCTAWAGCTGTAATCATGTCGTCTTCATTGACTTTTAATACAAAAGTTGGGTCATTGCATGCTGTGGGTATTTGGCTGATAAGATTGACTGAATTGGAGCACCATTTACGAAGTGAAAATCCAGCTGGATTGAAAAKCGTCAACAGCAAACTATAGATTTGAAAACATTCGTCTTCAGATACTCCGCCACTCAGGAGATCATCAACATAAAAGTCTTGAGTGATTACTCGACTTAATTTGGGATCGTCTGTGCATTTTCCTATCTCAGCTAGACAACGAGTAGCCAAATACGATGCTGATTTCGTGCCATATGTTACAGTACATAGTCTGTATTCTTGTAACTTCTCAGTAGGACTTTTCCGATAAAGAATTAGCTGGAGGTCCCTGTCCTCTGGTGCCACTACCACTTGACGGTACATTTTTTCAACATCCGCTGTAATAGCTACCTGGTGAATGCGAAATCGCAGAAGGATATGGAATATGTCAGACTGTACTTTTGGTCCTTTTAAAAGAATATCATTGAGTGATATGCCAGACTTGGTGCTTGCAGTCCATCAAATACTACCCGAAGCTTTGTGGTTGTGCTATTAGCCTTGAATACTGGATGATGTGGTAAATAATACTTTGGTCCATCTGTTGTAGTGGTTGCCAGTCCATATGGTTCTGATTTAAGTACTCAGAAATGAATATGTTATATTGTTTGGCCAATTGTTCATCTTTGTCAAATCTCCTTTCTAAATTGTAAAATCTCTTTTCTGCCATTTGCCGAGAATCACCAAGGGAATTGAGCTTATCATTGGCTGGTAACCTTACAACAAAACGTCCACATTCATTGCGTTTGACAGTTGATGAAAAGTGCTCTTCTGCTTGAGCTTCTTCGATGAATTGAGCATTTGTACTTGAAGTAAATAGACTTAGTGCAGATGTTGTGGATACTGGGGTGGATAGCATTGTAACCCTTGAATTATT